CACCCAGTTGGACAGGAGAAGTTATTGGTCTAGCTGATGTAGACGAATTTTCGTGTGTCCCAGCGAGGATATGCGGAGGATACGAAACGACAAATGGGGCTGCTGCTGCTGCTGCTGCTGCTGCTGCTGCTGCTGCTGCTGCTGCTGCTGCTGCTGCTGCTGCTGCTGCTGCTGCTGCTGCTGCTGCTGCTGCTGCTGCTGCTGCAAGTTTAGGGGCAGGTAAATGCGTCAAGTGGCTTTAGTGAGATGGAGATGTAGGAGTAAGGGGAAGGAGGTAGTCAGATGTCGCAGGAGAAGGACAAGCTAAATCCTCACGGTCACTTGTATAATGACCGAGTTGGGGAGCATTAGACTGAGAACCAGTGAGTTTACGTGGGAAGAGAGACCCGATTCTACGCTCCATAGGAGTAAGATCATTACAAAGGAAAAATTTTGCATTTTCTAGGGACGCAGTGACACGTTCTTGGTGGGCAAAGATTGTGTCAACCTCGACTGATGAAAATAATTTCACTAAGATGGGTGGATTTTCGCTACGGGAGGGCAAGCGTTTGGCATTGACTATTTTGTAGTTGAAACCACATGAATGCACGAAATTTGTCGCAACATCAATTGGCCGAGCAGATCGAGGAACATTTTTTAACAGAAAGTTGTAAGAACGCTTTTGTCTATCATTAGATTCACTGGCGATCAGGTGAACATGTGAGTCGAGACTCCTACATTCTACAGAGGGAATATCGGAGATGTGCCCGTCGAATAACTTTCCAAGAATTGTCAGCAAAGTGGCAAACTTTAGCACAAAGTCATTGCAGTTGTCAAGTGCGGACAGATTAAGCTGCCGACCAATTACAACAGGCGACGACTGACTAGCAATATCATCTGACTTAGATTTAGGTAAAGCTTCTGACTTACGTTTAGTTAGGCCATGCTTACTTACAGAGGCCGAGAGCTTACGCCGACCAGTGACTTTTGTTCTCATCTTGTATCGAGGCAAGTTGTGATTAAGAAAACTTCTGGCAGACTAGTTGACTGAATTTCAACTAGGGACTAACGATGTAAAAATAAATTACAGCAGTTAGAGAGAAATCGGATGCACAAAATGAGAATTGCAGAGTGCGACTAGGGAACAACAGGCATAGACTAGCAGAACTCAAAAGGAGATGGCAGCAGGCAGTTCTGAAGGAATGGGCCTGTATTTAAGGAAATTTAAGCAAAAAGACAGCAAAATTACTATCAGAATTTTCCTGAATCTTCCATATTTTCTTACAAGTTTCTTTCGAAAAACACGCCTCATTGCGTTTAAGTCACCCTTCTTAAATCTCCTGCTTACCTAAGAAATCCTGTTCACTAAGTAATTGCATAGTCAGTTTAAGTCAGTTTGTTAAGGGAGTGAGGCTTTCGCCCTTGAGCTCCCTATTCATATCGATAAACAGAAATAAAGTCATCAATTACATCAGCAAATGCGAAAAGTTAAGAAGTTAGCGGTAAGTGTGAGCTAGGCGCAAACTGCCGTCGCTAAAACAATCATTATTGCATGTACAGTAGGTTCTCAACAAGTGAGCGTCTAGTCTGCACTTAAAGAATTTGACACTTTCCGAAAGAACGACGGCGTCAGGGAGTCCATTCCATGCCCCGATGACCCTGTGAGAGAAGGCGTTCCGTCGGACGTCCGAATGAGCCCGCTTCCTTTGCAGTTTGAACGGATGACCACGCAGACGGTCAGTCCGGGCCAATTCAAAGAATTCATCAAAGTCTAGGGCACACTCACGGCTTCTGACAATCCTGTAGGTTTGAATGAGATCGCCGTGCAGTTGCCTGTAATTTAGAGGAAACAGATTAAGTTCGGTCAGCCTGGTTTTGTAAGGCAAATGATGAAGATTCTTGACCGTCTTCGTAGCCATCGCCTGTACTCTTTCCAGTCGTTGATCATCTTTCTTTAACCACGGTCGCCAGGCCTGGACTGCGTACTCTAAGTGAGGCCGGACGAATGCCCCATAGTTTTTTCTGAACAGCTCCTTGTCAATCTGCACAAATCCTCGCCTCAGCGCAAATAACACTCTTATCGCACTTTTGGCTGCCCTTTGACACTGCGAAGATGGTTTCAGCGAGGAGGTCATTAGGACGCCCAGGTCTTTCTGTTCCACAACATTTGAAAGGGGTTGACCACCAAGGACATATTGAAAGGAATCGTCCTCCTTAGTGGTCTTTTTGGTGCGGAGTCTCAGGACCACACATTTGTCCACATTAAAATTGAGGAGCCAGCGAGCTGACCAACTCTTCAGACGGTTAAGACTGTCTTGAAGCGCGTACCTGTCTGCATCAGATCTGATGGGTCTCCACAGCTTAACATCGTCAGCAAACATGATGGCGTTGCATCCCAGGTCGTCGACGCAGTCGTTAATGTAAGCCAGGAATAGCAACGGCCCTAAGACGGAGCCCTGGGGTACACCACTTAGAACGGGAGTAGGAGTTGACCTTGAGGCCTCAATGCACACGGTTTGCGATCTCCCAGTAAGAAAATCTGTTATCCATGTCAGCAGCGTTCCTCTTATCCCAATTTCAGAAAGTTTGTAGATTAAGCGTTTGTGTGGGACGCTGTCGAACGCCTTCTTAAAGCCTGTGTATATGACATCAACCCTCCCATCCTCATCCAGTGCGCGAGGCCACTGCTCCGTCGAGAGCAATAAACTGGAAAGACACGAGCGGTTCTGTCTAAAGCCGTGCTGCAGGTCTGAGATTAGATGACCCTGCTCCAGGAAGTCCATTGTTGCTTTCTTAACCATGGCCTCCATTATTTTACAGCAGATGCAGGTTAGACTAACAGGTCGGTAATTGTTAGCATTAGCTAATTTTCGATGTGCCACATTGGATATTTCTCGCTGACAGTACCACAATTCATTGGATACATAACTCGTTACGCCTCTTCCTCAACGTTGAAATTTGCCACAATGGAACATGTGCTAGCCTCCGAAGCTGACTTCGCTGCTAATTTTATCCCCAGTCAACCATGTCTCTGGTTATACAGTTCTGTGTGGCTTCTGTTCGTAGGCTAGTACTCTGAGTTTACCTGGCTTATTGAGGAGACTCTGTGGCGGTCAAGGATGTGAGATCAACTTAAACCACGCACAATAAGTTCGTTTCGTCTACTGTCAGAAGTCAGGGAGCTGTGAGGACTAGTTTATTCTGTACACAGGGCAGGTTGCCGGAAGTTGGCGGTTTGCTTGCAACAGAGAAAAGCGTCCGTTCATAGAGAGCGTCAGTCGCGGTGTGTGTGTGTTGTTTACGCGGGTGTGCGTCTGGGTCAGCAGGAGGGGTGACTGGCTGAGTGTTGGTTGTGTGATTGGACAAATTAGGGGAGGAATGAGGGCTGCATGCACAAAATGCCTCACGGGTATCAGGCCAGGGCGTTAGACGCGCGTGGGGTGATGAAAGTTTGTGAGGTCAGCCGACAGTCACTGAAGTTGGACCGGGGGTGTCTGAGTGTTAGCCGGCGGGGGTGGCTGTGTGTCAACAGTTGTCGCGGCCATTGTTCAACAAAACGGAGTCGGAGAAAAGGGGGACTGGAGCAGCTGCTACAAGTCTGACCGTTAGTGTAATAGATTTCAATGCAGCATCCAACGTTGCTCACAGCCTCAAAAACTGGCACCTTTGCATTGGTTAGGACGTCAGAATGACGACATTCAGCCAGAGCGATTTTCTTTTGACCTAAACTGTTAGTCCGTTCTTAATTTATAGGTGTGTTTCGCCGCTGCTTCTCCGCTTATCCAGCTCGGTTATCAGCTGTCACAATTTCACTCGCCCATTTTGGCTCGTAGTCCGACTGAACAAGAACTTCGGGATGCTAACCCCGCAGAGTTGATTTTCTCCATAACAGGAGCTGTGCATCTGTTTCATTCTCTAAAATGACTTTTGGGGTGTCGGGGCCTGAAATCCGAACCGCGTGCTGGCAGAGTCTCCCCTATTCGGAATTCTTTGAGAACGTTTGTGGACTCGCCATCCCCTAACAAATCTTTCGCAAACACTTGAAGGTGAGTCTTTGGCCTATAATAATTTATAGAAGACCTAACTTGCCGAAACATGGGTCTATTAATAAGGTTACCTTGACCGTCCCTTATGATTTATGGATTAGTCCAGGTTTCATAAGCGTTTAGATTCTTACACAAGTGCAACAGGATATAAAGGGACATATGCATTTCCGAATAAGACTTATCTTTGAATGGTGTCCTGGCAAGAGTTGTTTAGTTAAATCGCCAGTCAGCTAAGAGCGCACGTGGCGCTTGGCCTGGTTTTGTTAGTGGGAATGCTCTGCACGTGGTCATCATCAGTCCACTTTTTGATAAGTACTAAGTTAAAGTGATAACCCATTTAAAGCGTGCGCGGCGCGAACCTGATATCGACCTGTGAGCTGCTTCACGTGCTGGCATTAGCGAGTGTTTGCTTTTGTTAAGTACTGTGCCTTAACCCTGACTTCGGTTAGATAGGTTGTCATGAGTGATTTATTACGCATACTGGATAATGTGGAGCCAAGACTGACTCTTGATATTGTTTAAAAGGTTGATTGAATTCTGAAAGAAGCAAGATCTTGCTCGAGCGATGGCAGTGGCGTGTATGCGATACTTACACCCTTTTGGTGCAGTTTGTTTTTTTCATTTTGCCTAGTGCTGTCATCTGTGATGACTTACAGTGGACATTCCGTCTCACTCAACTATGCATGTTTGTCGTCCCCCTATTTGGGCCTATGACCCATAATTCTGCACAACTGATGGCTCAAGTAGATTGTGTGTTTTTATCTAGAAATATCCACTGATACGGATGTCCGGACTAAGTTAAACCTCAGCTTGGTGTTGAGGTGCACCCCTGAACGGTTTTGTGGCCATCAGTAATTTCTGTCGTATTTTCTTTGGCAACAATTTACTTCCTACGCTGCTCAGTAATTGGCATAAACCGGAAGCTCCCAGGGAGTACTGTTGGTATAAATGTAGCGCCGTTGGACCGTGTTAAGTCGATGAAGATTTTGCAATCGCCGTGCCTTTTAACGCACTTATTTCGGATAATCTACTCCAAAGCGAGTTAAAACACGGGAGGATAAATTAACTCATAGGTGTTGGGTAGATTTGCCCAATGCAGAATTACAACCAAAACCCCTTTCTATAAGCTGTCGACTTCATATGAATTTTCTCGCGTTATCTTCTTCCGGAGATTTTAGAGAACAAGTTTAAATTTGGAGGAGTTTGCGGTATTATTATTCTGTCAGTGGTCAGTTAAATGTCATTTTCAGGAAACTCAGCTGACTACGAGCTTTGGATGGTGTAGCTCTGGGGAACTGTTGCATTTTCCTCGAGAAAGCACAATCTCAACAGGCTTAACGTAGTGCACAAACCTTTAATAATATAGTCATGGAACTGTTATCCGTTCGTTTCTGAGTTGCAGACAGCTATCGAAACATGCATAGAGTTCCATTACCTTGTCCAGTCAAGGCGTTACTCGTACTTGTGCTTGGTATAGCTGTGTTCCTGCCTATTTTGGCTGGCCTCGATGCAGTATTGGTTTGTTCCTTCCCAAACGTGTCGATACGCGGCAACAGGTCAGAAGAGTTCGATCCGTCCTCTACTCCTGCCGTGGTGATCTAATACGAGGGGTCAGAGAACCACTTCCATTTATTAACAAACTGCCAATTCGTGTCTTGAATTGACCTCTTTGATGTCAGTGGGGACGGGGATGTCCCGTCAGGTCCATACAAACCTTCTTAAGAAAAAATCCTGCAATCAGCACCGATCTCAAAGACGGTGTCTTCCTTACTCTATCCATTCGGCAATAAACTCGCCTCGAGGTATTTGAAACTACCTTCTCCTTCTATTTGAGAGTCATTGATCCCGAGGGGCGCTTTCTGTTCTGACAACACTGCATTGACCGAAGGAGTTAGCGACTTCAATCACCCGTCACCCAGCAGACTGGAGATTATAAAAGCCTGAGGTTAGCAAGGGATATTGTCAGCCTGGTCGAGGTCAGCCAGCGTTCTTTTGAGAACTCTATGCCGTCAACTGTCTTTACAGTTCTTTCGAGAATCCAGACATCCAGTTCACAAGGGAAGAAGAGCATGCCGAACAGCTGCCTTTCCTTGACGTTCTCGTCACACGCACACCCAACGGCGAACTCAACACCACGGTGTACAGAAAGGCGACTAACACGACTCAGATTCTCAACTACCACAGTAACCACCCAATGGCGCATAAACGCAGCTGTGTTAGGACACTCTTCTAGAGGGTTAAAACGCACTGCAGTGAACCAGAGGGATGAGTACGAGAACTTCGGCATCTTCGGGACCAACTGGCAAGGAATGGATACCCGAACAGCTTCGTCAGCCGCTGCCTCCGCACGCGCCCACGGCGAACAAACGGAGGAGAGCCGCCAACACTCTGGCACCCTCTGCCATATATAAAGAACGTATCCGAAGCGATGGAACGTATTGCTGGAGAGCTCGGCGTGGGTATCGCTCACCGTCCGACAGCGACCATGCGCAGCAAAATCATGCAAGTGAAGGATCGCCTAGACGTGGGTGAATAATCGGGCGTCGTCTATCAGATCCCATGTCGGGACTGCCCTCGCCACTACACAGGACAAACCGGACGACGACTTAGCTCACGAATAACGGAGCACAAACGGGCGGTCCGGAGAGGCGACCCGTTGTTTCAGGTCGCCACTCACACCCTGGAGGAAGGCCACGAATTCAACTTTGCGAGCACGCGGATAGTGGCGCGGGCCAGCAATAAGACAGGACAAGAACTTTTAGAGGCCTGGGTGTCTGACACCAAAGCTATCAACAGGCAC